ATTGACAATTTTAAAGAAGCAATAACGCAACTGTCTTTAAACTTAGTATTCATTTGTGAATTTTTAGAGAATACGATTATGGCTTAAATTCCTATTTTTTTTACTTCTTAAGCATCACCAAGGTACCTGCAGACTTTTCTCGCCAAATATTCTTAAGTATTAGCCACAACCTTTTCTTTCTAATTTTTGGTTGCTTTTTAATCATTTTACACAAAGCAGTTATCCTTTTGTAAAGCAAACTTAAAATCTAGCTTGAAGAACATAACCCAGACATTATGATTCATCTAATCTTATTCTCCATTAAGTTACCTGCGATCCTCACCCTGCAGTCAATGGTAGTACCAGCCCTATAGGTCTATCAGATGCTTTCTGGAAGCCCATCAGGAAGATGTGGAAGTAACCATTAGAAGGGGAAAAGATAGAAAGGACTTAGGAATTTTCCAAAAGGAGAATATGTCAAAGCCTAGATGCCATTCTGATGAAGACCCCATTTTGCAATCAGCTAGACTGATCATATATGATGAAGAACATGGAAGAGAACCTTTTTTATATAAGTGGAGTGGAGTGGAGTGGAGTGGAGTGGAGTGGAGTGGAATAGAATAGAATAGAATAGAATAGAATAGAATAGAATAGAATAGAATAGAATAGAATAGAATAGAATAGAATAGAATAGAATAGCTTTATGGTCATTGTGTAACTCACAACAAAATTAAGTGGCTGTTGGAAAACTAAAGCTATTCTCTAATAAAATTAGATTTACAGGGCAATTTCTATCTAGGCAAAGCTGAAAGATGGAGAATTACTAGCTTTCAGCTCCATCTCCCATCTAATAGCTTAGTATGTTCAAATAATAGAATAAAATTTGAACTTTATTCTGCATTTTAGCTGAAACTCTGTCAACCCAAAACCTCTGATTCTTGGAGATTGCCTTGACAAATCCCTGCAAGATTCCTCAGAAGTAGTTTACCATTGCCTCCTTTCTAGAGCTGAGAGAAACTGACTGGCCCAAAGGTCACCCAGCTGGCTTTGTGCATAAGGCGGGACTAGAATTCATGGTCTCTCATTTTCTAGTTTGATATCTTAACCACTACACCAAACTCCATATTAAAAACTACATTCAGAATATCATCATTCTCAGAGCATTATCTAATTCAAAAATGGGAAGTGGGTAGGAAATCTGAAATGACCAGCTTAACCTTCATTTTGGCATTTTTCACATTTAACCCCTTCAGTCTGAAAGAAAAACATATGATGTGAAAGTTTAGTTCTTCCTTTCAGCGCTTGCTAATACGGTATTTCCTCTACTTTCAATGCTTGTCAGCCAGTTAACTTTTCATTTGCAAGAATTATCTGTTATTTGCATAAGCTATCAGCCTCCCTTTGTCTTCCAGGCTGGAAATACAAGAGGCTTTTTTTATTCCATAAAATGTCCTACAGTAAGGATTTTATTGTGGTTAACTCCAGGGACCAATTACAGGGCAGAAGCTGTCCTTTCCCGCCGATTTATGTCTTATTATTTAACAGGTTGGATACTATAAGTATAGCTATAGTCAGGTAACTGTCAGCATTAAGAGTGATTAGATAATATGCAAGTAATCCAAAAGGGAGATAAAGGATGTGTTTTAGTATGTAAAAAAGGTCAAAGAAGAATGTAAGCTACTTGGCAACCATGGGAGAGAAAGATCACAATCCATACCTATAAAAAAATCTTCAAAACAATTTAAAAGGTCTTGCAATTCCCATTTAAGCAGAACACATAAGACATTAGATTCAAATATTTTTCCTGATTTATGTCTGAATTTATTTAGTTTCCAAATTGGTTACTGTCAACATATATATGGGAAGTTATAATTTTGATTCTAGGCAAATCTCAACCTTAGATCCAGAACAACCTACACTTTGTTCCTCAGATATGTTGGTTTCAGCTTCAAAAATTTCTAGTCATCTGGATCAATAGATTAACTGAATTTATTTGCAGAAGACTAGCTAAAAGGAAGAACACAAAGACTGGGAAGTGGTTTCTGAGTACTAACATAATTATTATTGTGATATGTGTGTCCAGCTATAAATCAGATTTAATTCAAGAGAGTTTACTGTGGTGTAGATTACCTAGGAGTTTTTCCTCTAGACTACAGATAGAGATTGGAGTAAGAATACTTCACAGCATATTTATCCAGAAATAAGATCCTTTAATTTTAATTAATCTAATTCCCCAGTTAAGTGAACAGAAGCTCAGAACCTCAGTCTATATTCTTCTGCCTATAAAACAAGGTCAACAGTCACTCATCAGTTATTGCTTTAACTGCTTTAAGCAATTTAGGATTATGAATCTGATAGCTATTAAAAGAGATAATGAACAGCACTCAAAATATGTGCTTGGCTGAATTACATTTCATATTATTTTCTGGCTATATTGAACATAAACTATTTCCTAAGAAATAGCTTGTTCTGGCCACCTTTTACCAGAAACGTGACAAGATTTGCTTTCCCAAGAGTTGTATCCATTAAGATACAACTAGACAGGGCTCTATCTAACCACTAATCAATAGTTTGATAGAAGTTGGCAATAAACGGCCATTATTCTTTTTGAGTGGACATTTGCTATCAAATACTAACAACAGTTACTTTTGTCTTTACCAATTTCAGGAGAGGTATTGTATTATCACACATTTGGAGGACATCAGATTCAAATTAAAGACATTCAGTGGGTGGGACAAAACCAGTTTGACCATCAAGTTCTACTGCCTACTTGGTGCAAGAATTCACATTAAAGCATCTTTAATAAAGGTCTATCCAGGCACATCCAAAAAGGAGAGCTCACCATTGCCAGAAATAATTGGTACAAGTATAAATCTTCTCTTGCTATTAAAACTTTTCCCCAAAAAACATTCAACCACAATATGGTATCTGAAAACCACTATCCCATACTCCAATACAGAAATGTTTTTCTGCATGATATACTCCAATCAGCATATTTCAGCTTCAGTCATTTTTTTTCAACACTAAACAAATCTATTTTAATCAGTTCTTTTTTTTCTAGTTTTTCATCCCCCTGATCATTCTTGTTATCCTTCATTGCATCTGTTTCTTCAAATGCCTCCCAAAATCAGAAGCCTAGGTTAGATAAGACTACCGTGGAGAAAGTTATAATCATGCTAGCCTAAGTGTTCCAGAAAACGAAAGCAATGAACTAAAAGACATGTTTAAAAATATGCACTTTAGACTTTTCAAAAATTGCCCTGGAATGGCCCTAAAATATTATTTTTATTTAGCAATTAATAGGTTAGACTGGTAATTTTTAAGAAAACAGCCTGTTATCCTGCCTAGTGGTATTGCGGGACAAGTGAACAGTGTCTTAATTAAATATATATACAATTAATATGTCATTTATATAAGCAGATGTCATGAGGTTGGCAGAGGACATGAGCAAAAATAAGACATTGGGAAGAATTTAATCCTTTCACCCTGCTGGAGTGCTATCACAAATCCTTTTCATCTTCTCTTCTTCCTCTTCACAGTTAGACTCTGGAAGAAAGCTCTAAATCAGATGTCCCCAACCTTTCTTAGTTGGCTGACTGGAGAGAAAGGGAGATGGAAGAATTTTATGTGTATGCACGTGCAAACTTGGCTGTGAGCACAAATGGGATGGCACTAGCACCTGCAGGGTAACCCTGCCCTGTTTTCACCATGTGGGGCCCCATTTTCGCAATGCCAGTGCGAATGGACATGAGTGCACACGTATACACATGCACACTGGCCAGCCTGTCCTGTAGCCCAGTGGCCAGCAGGCCACGGTCCAGTAGTGGACCATGGCCCACAGGTTGGGAACCCCTACTCTAAATCAGTGGTTCTTAACCTTTTTGAATGAATCACCCCCTTGAGCCAATGAGGAAATTGTCATCGCCCCCCTCCCCCAACATAACCTCTCAATCACAGCATAGGAAATAATTCTTCAATTTATGCAAACACTTTTTTTGTTTTCTTTAAAACTGTCATCAGGACATATCGATGCAAATAATTTATTTCCAGCCTTTTTCCCATATCTCAACTGTGTGAAAAAGTTTGGTGCCACCCATCACTTTATTCCCAAACTTCGTGATACATGTATTTCATTATTATCTTATTTATTCAAGACACTTAAATGTAATGACCACTGAAAACAAAATTCAATTGCAAGAAAGTGAAATGCCCAAAAAGAAAAACGGTAATATTTAATGATTGAATTACAAGTGAAATTTAAGACGCAAAAAGAAATATAAAAAGAGTAGAGGCTGCTACGCAATGCACATGAAGATAAGCAATGTGTATTCACATCTGTACGGCATTCTATACTGAAGCTAGCTGGAGGAACATTTGAAAACACAATTCAGTCCACTAATAGCGAGCGATCTGATGTTTTTGTACGACAGATATACAGCGATTCACTGTATGAAAAAGTCTCAAAGGTGTCCCCATCGTCCCCATATCGCCCCCTTTTTGTTCCTTGGCCCCCACGTTGCCCCTTTTTCTTCCATCACCCACCTGAAAAATAAAATCGCCCCCTGGGGGGCAATATCGCCCCGGTTAAGAACCACTGCTCTAAATGACACTAGCAGAAGCCTTGGTCCTAGGCTTGAAACAACTCCCAATGTGTGAGGTTTAAAACATCTCTCCTCCCAGGCTTGCACTTTCATTTTGTTCTCTCATCCATCTCGACTTAAGCAGCTAGGTTAAACAAAAAATCTCTTCTACAAACTAATTCACACATTATTTGTCAGTAAATGGCTTCATTTTATGATTTAAAAATTTTTGTTTTCTACACCACTGACCAAAACAGATCTTGAAGTGCACTTTTGCATAGCAAAATCACAGACAGAGATGCTGTGCAAAGGATAAAGAACCATTTCTCATGGTCCTGCTGGGTGGACATCTGGGAGATACAGTCCAGCTTTCTGCAGAAGAAGAGATTGTGAACTGTAAAAAAGAAGGTGGAATGAAGAAATGGAGAAAGATTATCTCACCTACTTTAGTTGCCTTGTATTTGAGCCAGACTCAACGATACCATGAGGCTTATAAGTAGTTATATGAAATCCCTCTGACTTGTTGGCTTCTGGTTCTGAGCCAAATAGCGCTGCCAACTCTATGAAGGCAAGAGAATATAGAAAAATTATGAACAGTTCATCCTATGGTGCACGCCAATCTTTCTCATTTATCAACCAGACAACTCAAATCCTGGAAGCCCTAGCAGTGGCACATGCACAACACCTGTCCAACAACTTTAACACTGATTCCCAGGGTAAAGCCAAATGGGTTGCTGAACATCCAGACATAGGAAGATATATAAATGACCACCTAAAAAAGATGCTAGGCTTTGAACTATGCCTCCAGCAATGGACAATCCTGAATAAGATTCACACCTCACATGGGATTCACTGTATAAAAGGGACACAGTACTTTCCTCCCAGTGTGACTCTGGGTCCCATGTCAAACTATAGATCACACTATGACCAGGTGTAAGCTGAGGGCATATTTTTTTAAAAAAAATAGTAATGTTAATATATATTGCAAGACCATGTATGATATGCTAAATAAATAAATCTTATCTACTTAATTAAATAGCACTAAGGTTACCTGCAGTAAAGCCTATCATTGTAGGTCTATCACATATCCTTAAAATAATCAATGGGACACCTGCCTGCAACTTCAGTCACTGATAAAGGTTTAGTGTTGGTCCTTGGAAATATAATATTACCTTGTCTCCATAGTAGGTCTATATAACAGATTAATTTATTGGGAGCTGAGGTTCTTTTATTCCCATTAAGAATGGGATTTATAACGGAGCTCTTCAAATCTACTACCTTTCCAGGACGGAAAGATTGCATTTTTATTAATGCATTTCTTGTAAGATACCAAGCTTTGGGATTGGGTATATATTAATGAGTATTTTTTTTAAAAAAAAATGCTTTTTAAAATAATGACAAAAAACAGGATATAAAACCACAAAGATAAAAATACATACATCATCAAAGAAAAAAAGACACATAGAAAGTGCTTTAAAAAGGAAAAATGGAAAAAAACACAACAAAGGAAAAAGATATATAATTTTAGCAGTAAATAGTTGCAATTCTATATCTAGTCACTTGATTATTATTAAAGCATATATATATACTTTTTAACCTGCTGCATTTTATACAAATGAATCCCATATTTCATTATATTTGTCTAATCAAAGTCTACATCTATAGGCAATCTGTTCATAGATAGTAAATGCTATCCGGTTCACTCCATTGGGTGAATACATAAATGTAGACGTTAAAACATTTTTCCATTGCCTTGACCAGAGGTATCCAATCTTGGCATCTTTAAGACCTGTGGACCTGAACTGGCTGGGAAATTGTGGGAATTGAAGGAGTTGGACACCCCTGATGTTGGCAATACAGGGACTTCTAATTCTTTATTCCACTCAGACATGTTCTAAACCAGTGTTTCTCAACCTTGACAATTTTAAGGCATGTGGACTTCAACTCCCAGAATTCCACAGCCAGCAATGCTGGCTGTGGAATCCTGGGAGTTGAAGTCCACATGCCTTAAAATTGTCAAGGTTGAGAAACACTGTGAAACAAAGAATTTATGTTCTGAAAATATTTTCCAGCTATATACATTCTGAAATTCCTGTCAAAATATAAATTAATTTGGAAATAATATTTATTTTGAAAACATTTACCTTTCCGCAAAGTGTAAGGTTTAGTAACTCCCATTTATAGGTAGTCCTTGACTTACAAAAGTTCATTTAGTGACCATCTGAAGTTACAATGGCACTGAAAAAAGTGACATGACCATTTTTAACATGACAGTTGCAGCATCCCCCAAGTTATGTGATCAAAATTCAATTGCTTGAAAACTGACTTATATTTATGATGGTAGCATGTGATCACCTTTTGCAAGCAAAGTCAATGGGAAAGCCAGATTCACTTAATCACGGTGCTATTAACCTAATAACTATAATGATTTACTTAATTGGGGCAAGAAAGGTTGCAAAATGGGGCAAAATTTACTTAACAATTGTCTCATTTAGTAACAGAAATTTGGGGCCCAGCTGTGCTCGTAAGTCGAGGACTATCTTTATTAATATCTGAAGAAACCTCTCTCTATATTCTATTCTATATTCTATATATTCTATAAAGCATAATTATAGTCTTATAGTTGTAGTCTATAGACTACCTATGTCAGAGGTTCCAACCCCCGGTCCATGGACCGGTACCGGGCTGCGGCATGCCAACAACTGGTTCAATAAACAAAGCCCCATCCATGAGATGCAGGCAGCACACAAAACACGCACACTCCGGTCCATGGAAAAACCTCTCTCCACGTAACTGGTCCCTGGTGCCCAAAAGGTTGGGAACCTTTGACCTATGTATTTATAGGATTATCAATACACAGTTGATATTCCTTAAATGGATAGATAACCAAATTTTCACCCATAGGCATCAACTCCAACTTGGAGAAGTTACTGCTGCCGTTTCAATAAAAGCATCAGTCTTTTATATCAATACTAGAATAATTGCATGAGGTTTAGAAATAAGCAAAACACTGTCCACCTGCCAATAAAATTAATTTGTTCTCAGCTGAGTTATTAGTAGTTGTCTTCAACTTACCACTACAATTGTGGCCAGAATTTCCATTGCTAAACCAAGCAGTTGTTAAGTGGATATTGCTCAGTTTTACAACATCCTTTTTTTCCCCCCATGGTTAAGTGAGGCATTGCTGTTGTTGTGAATCATGCAGTCGTCAAATGACTTTGCTCTTTGGAAGCCAGCTGGGAAGATTGCAAAGGTGATCATACAATTTTGGAATGCTGCAACTGTAATAAATATTTTGATCACATGACCTTGAGGATATTGCAATGGTGGCATGTCCTTTTTTTTCAGTGCAGTTGTAGTTTTAAAAAATCACTAAATGAATGGTTGTAAATGGAAGGTTACCTGCACTCCGTAGATCCCCCTATATCAGGGGTCTTCAGACTTGGCCCTGTTATGTCTTGTGGACTTCAACTCCCAGAATTCCTGGCTGAGGAATTCTGGGAGTTGAAGTCCACAAGTCATAACAGGGCCAAGTTTGAAGACCCTTGCCCTATATTGTCTAATAAGACAAATCATGGGTTCCACGTAAATATTAAAAAGCAAACTGGATGGTCTTGCCTAGTTCTTCAAATAGTGGATAGTAGGAGAAAACATGCCATCAACCTTCATTTTAGATATGGATAACTCATATGGAATCTTATCTTATCCATTTTATGAATTCCAAGATAAATCTAAACCTATTTAGTATAACAAATATGTACTGTTTATGTATTTTTGTCAAAGGCTTTTTCAGTGTCCAATGATAAGATTACAAATTGATCTTTATTTATATTCAAGTTTATTAGAACTATGATCAGACCAATATCTGGTGTTTGTTTGGTTTTATAAACCCTGCTTGATCAATTCTTAATAAAAAATGATATCACTTGTTCTAATCTATTTGCTAACACTGTTGTTCAAAACCTTATATCAACCTTAATCAACAAGTCTGGATGATAATTAGCACACTGAGTCTAATCTTTACCTGCTTTCAGTATAACTGAAATATAAGCCCAATTAAATTCCCTTATCAAATATTTCTTAATATATTTGACAATTCTGGCACCAAAAGATGTATACATGTTCATGCCACTTGATGGAGAACCTACCTGGTCCTAGGATTTCTCCATTTGCCATTATGGCAATGGTATAAATAAGCTTAATTAATGAATATAATATATATTATGAACATAGCAATATAAGAGACAACATGGCCCAACAAAATATATATAAGAAGATATAGGTGAGAAAATTTAGGGAAGGAAAGGACCATGATGTAGGCCAGTGTTATGCAAACTTGGCAACTTTTAAGATGTGCAGTATGGACTTCAACTCCCAGAATTCTTAAGACACTGGGAAAATAGGATATAGTTATAGCAAGAAGCAACCAAATGCAGAGATTTTTAAACCCTCTCACTGTTGAGACTCTAGAACAGTGTTTCTCAACCTTGACAATTTTAAGGCACGTGGACTTCAACTCCAAGAATTCCACAGCCAGCAATACTGGCTGTGGAATTCTGGGAGTTTAAGTCCACATGCCTTAAAATTGTCAAGGTTGAGAAACACTGCTCTAGAAAGAGTACACCAGAAAAGAGCAACAAAGATGATGAGGGGACTGGAGACTAAAACATATAAGGAATGGTTGCTGGAATTGGGTTTGTCTAGTTTAATGAAGAGAAGGAGAGGAGCGACATGATAGCAGTGTTCCAATATTTCAAGGGTTGCCACAAAGAAGAGGGAGTCAAGGTATTCTCCAAAACACCTGAAGGCAGGACAAGAAGCAACCAATGGAAACTAACCAAAGAGAGAAGAACTAAGGAGAAATTTTCCTGACAGTTAATTGCTTCCAGAAATTGTGAATGCTCCAACACTGGAAGTTTTTAAGAGATTGGACAACCATTTATCTGAAATGGAATAGGGTTTCCTGCCTGAGCAGGGGGTTGGACTAGATGACCTCCAAGTCCCTTCCAACTCTGTTATTCTATTCTAAGTAATAAGACTGAAGAAAGAACCAGTATGGTAATGGTGAAGACATCAGGCTAAAAATCAGGAGACCATGAGTTCTAGCCCATTTTAGACATGAAAGCCAACTGGATGACTTTGGGCCAATCATCAGGAGATCCTGAGTTCTAGTCCTACCTTAGGCATGAAAGCTGGCTGGGTGACCTTGCACAAGTCACTCTCTCTTAACCCAACTCACCTCACAGGGTTGTTGTTGTGGGGAAAATAGGAGAAGGGACTATTAGATAAGTTCCCTGCCTTTCATTTTGTACAAAAATAAAAGAGGAGGGATCTAAAATAACTGATAATGGCATTTTTAGCATTTCATTTTATTTCATTTTTGCATATAAGAAAGCAGGGCACCTAGCTCCATTTCTTCCATTCATCCCTGTTTTTCTGCACAACAACAAGAAAGACCTGAATATGAAGGTAAAATGAGGAATGAAAATGACGCTTTTAAAAAGGGAAGGGGGGAAAACCTGCTGGGGTCCCCTTTTAATTAGAAGACAATGGAGGAAGACTTAATTATATCTCAGCTTACTCTGGTGCATCTTTGCTCCAAAGTTGGGTGTTCCTTTGTACTAGGGATGGCAGTCGACCTTACAACCAGCCGGGAAAGGAAAACCCGCTGAAGAACTTAAATCGGGGGGGAGAGAAAGCAAGCGCCACGAAGAGGAATTGGCACTGCGGGGTTCTTTAACAGAAAACTTTTTCCACTGTAGCGATTCCCTCCATTTCTTCCCCCAAATTCTCTCTCGCGCGCACGAAAACCCCTCAACCGTCGAAAAAAAGCAACCTCACCTCCACTTCACCTGCCCTCCCCGCCCCCTCTCGGCTCCGCAGCGGAGCGCCAGTTCCCGCGACGGTAGTAATTACGGCCCCAGCGTGAGCTCCATGCAAGCGCTAAACGAAACAGCAGATCAATTAAGAAATAAACACTCTATTGAAAAAACCAAGACAACCCCCTGGGACGGCCTAACAGGCGCGAATACGCTTCCTCGCGTTCTTGCCAGACCTTCTCGCTCTTTCTCCTCCTCTTTTTCTCTTCCCTCCCCCCGCCCCCGTTTAAGGTAGCTTGAGACGCGCGTCGAGCTGGCAAGACGCAAAGCGCGCTTTGGTTCTGGTGCTGCAAACCGGAGTCGGATATTCGTGGAATCGGAGTCACAGGGTTGGCCAAAGGTTGAGAAATTTTCAGCCAAAACCACATTCTGTCCTTTGCCAGGCAGCCCGTGCGCGCTACGATGGCTAGTTCAGTTCCAGCACTAGCGGATTATATATGTAGGAATATAGGATCGGAGGCAATTTTCTCCGAGAATGCCATTCGCTGGCGGACAGCGTCCCAGGAGCCATTCAACATTAACACATTTAGCCACTATTTATTTGAATGTATAAACTACCTAACTCCAATGGACTCTTCTGCTTTTTTCATAGATTGCACTAATCCACAGTTTGTTAAACATCATTCGGCAAAGCCACAATTGGTTAGGTTTCCACAACAATCGTTAATTATTAGAACATAGTTTACCTGGCTTCATGTAAGGTTAAACCAGTGTTTCTCAATCTTGGCAAACTTTAGGGAAGGACCTCAACTCCCAGTATTCTGGATGGGAGTTGATGTCCATACACCTTAAAAGCTGCCATCCTTGAGAAACATTATGTTAAGCCCAAACCAAGAGATGCTTTAGACCAGGTGTCCTCAACCTTGGCAACTTTAAGATCAGAGAGCCCCGTTCTAGAATATATGAAACCAGTTTTTATGCTTAGGGGTGTAATTATGCCCCAAACCATGGTTAAAACAAGTAATTATTTCACATGACCATAACTGATAAATGATCCATTGAGAGGTAGCCATCCAACTCTTCAAATCTTTAGCTGGGAAATGCAGCTATTCCCCAGAATTCCCCATAATATTGAACCTGTCCTTTCAGTTTCAAAAAAAATAGATTAGCTCCATCTGGCTGCTGAATTTTGGGAGTTGAAGTCCATCCATCTTCAAACTGCCAAAGTTGAAAAACACTTCTTTAGATCAGGGTTATTATTTTCCATTCAGTTCTACCTTTATCGAGCTAAACATACATATCTCTCATGATCATTCTTCATAGGACTTCCCGTTCAGATATTTGGTCATAATGACTGCTGTCTTCCAAACTTGCTCCAATTTTTTTTCAGGTCTTTTTTTAAAAATGTCTTACCCAGAATTGCAGAGTTCTCCAAATGCAGTCTAACCTGTACAATGCGACAGTACAATCAACTGCTACTATCTACAGTATAAGCTGAATATAACAATTCTGCAAATGCAATCCACATTTGCACAGAGCAGGGATAGGCAACCTTGGCTCTTGTATGACTTCAACTCCCAGAATTCCTGAGCCAGCCATGCTGAGGGAAAAAGGAGAGGATTCCAAGCTGAGCCATGCTGCCTCAGGAATTCTGGAAGTTGAAGTCTACAAGTCATAAAAGAGTCAAGGTTGCCTATCCTGGCATAGAGGTATTTAGCCGCTGTATCATACTGCTTGCTTACATTTAACATATAGTCCTTTGGTATTCCTAGGCCTTCTTATGTCTCATTTCTATATTTATGCATTTGAACTGTCCTACCCAGATGCAAGAAATTTACATTGTTGTCATTGATATTGTCTTCTAAAATGTAGTTCAATACTCAAGCCTGGTTACAACATTTTGAATTGTGATTTTTTTTCCTTCTAAGACATTAGCCAATCCCCCCTCCCCCAAGTTTGGTATCAATTATAAACCTGCAAAAAATCCATCCTCTAAGCCAGGGGTATCAAACTCGCCATGTCACATGATGTGTCACGACGTATCGTGATTTTTTCCTCATTGCCGGAGGTGCGCTGGCACGGCTTCCATGTGATGCATCCAGACCGCAGGCTGGTAGTTTGACACTCGTGCTCTAAGCCATTCATAAAGAGATTGACTCACTCTGGGACAAGGACACAATCTTGAAAAATCTCCCTTGATTTTGCTCCCTAGAACAAAACAGAGCCACTTACAAATATCCCTTCAGTGCAGCTGTTCACCCAATTGCAATTCCAGGGAACCACCATTCCATCTTGTTTTCCAGAGACCTCTCCAGATGTTTTACCAAATACCAATGTGAACTACATTCCTTGTGCCTACTAAACTAGACAGCCAGTACAATATAGTGATTAAAGTATTGGATTAAAATCAGAGGGACTCAGATCCAAGAGCATCTTCTAGGTGAATTTGGGCCTCACAGGATGGTTGCTGTGGATAAAACTAGAAGAAGGAATGCTGTAAACGCCTTAAAGAAAAGTATAAATCTAGCAAATAAACAAACAGATTGTAATAAACATAAATAAAATTGGACCAGTGCAACCTTCTTTTGACTCACCTGGCTCCTAGTAATGGAAGCATTTTTTTCAGAGTGCTTTCTGATCTACTGCTTCACATTTTTTTATTTGCTCAATATAGAAATGAAATTAACCTTGTTTGTAGTTTCCTCCATTTTTTAAATATGGGACTGTGTTCACTTTTCTCCAGATTATGGGCAGTGTACCATTTCTCAAAGATAATACACTCATTTCTCAAAGTTTATAGCCGAAAGGATCTGTGACCGCTTCAGCCAGCTTCTTCAAAAGTCTTTGATATACTTTGTTCATTCCCGGAAACTTGAATTTGTTTGAGATAGCAAAGGTAAATTCTTTCTATACTCTTAATAGTCCTGAACTATATTTCCTACTTTTCCTTAATTATATTAAGAAAGGTTCCATCCCTGTTCTGAGGGGGAATCTGTTGTTTGCTTTTTCCAATAGCATATGCAATAGTTTTTTTAGCCCTGCAAAGTTCAATATACATGTGAACCATACGAATAGAACATACCTCTTAAATTTCATGTCACCTTTAATTCAAAATCACACACACACACACACACACACACACACATCTAAACACACACCCATCTGCCAGACTGTCTAAGCCCTCTAATCCACAATAAGGCTCAAAAGTTGGTGTGATCAGTTTTCTTCCTGTGTTGATTGGAAATGGCAGCCATGCTCTTCATTACTGAGTTTAGCATCTTTAAGAAATGCCTAACAGGCTGAAGTCTGGCACAGATCAGAATGCAGATGTGTTAGCTGTTGATTTGCTTCCTCCTATGCAGCTGTGAAAAAGACAATATTAACTACTCAGATTATATCCAGGGTGCCTTGCTTACCTAATAGTTTATGCCAGTGGTTCTCAACCTTTCTAATGCCGCGACCCTATAATACAGTTCCCCATGTTGTGGTGACCCCCAACCACTTATACATCACCAGGTGCCAGGGGCGTGGCCAAAGAAAAGGGGGGAAAAATGGCGGACAGCCTTGTTTGGCGACCCCCGTGAAATGGTCGTTCGACCCCAAATGGGGTCCTGACCCACAGGTTGAGAACCACTGGTTTATGCTGTCCAAGCAGAAGATGGATGGTTTTACCTCCAGGTGATATACAGTAACAGGAATGGTGGGAAAGGCTCTCAAGTTCCAGCAATTTAAGAAGGGAACACTGAATTCTTACAAAGAAAAAAACAAAAGTTTAATTCCTTAAAGCTTTAACTTTCATTAAAGTAATGAAGCTCCTGATCCACAAGCCAATCTTCCTTTACCATACAATCCCCCTATTTATTTACTTATTCCACTGTTATTATTTTTATGAATAATTCAAGGTGGCCACCATACCTAATACTCCTTTCTCCTCCTATTTTCCCCACAACAACCTTGTGAGGAAAGTTGGGCTGAAAGAAGTGGTTGGCTCAAAGTCACCTAACTGGCTATTATGGCTAAGTTGAAACTAGAATTCATAATTTCTTGGTGATTGGCCCAAAGTCACCCAGCCAGCTACCATGGCTAAAGCTTCCTGGTGATTAGCCCAAACTCACCTAGTTACCATGGTTAAGGTGGGACTAGAATTCATAGTTTCCTGATGGTTTGCCCAAAATCACCTACCTGGCTATCAAAGCTAAGGTAAAACTAGAATTCATATTTTCCTAGTGATTGGCCCAAAATCACCCAGCCAACTATCATGGCTTCCTAGTGATTGGCACAAAGTCACCTAGTTATCATGGCTAAGATGGGACTAGATTTCATAGTTTCCTGGTGATTTGCCCAAAGTCACCTAGCTGGCTATCAAAGCTAAGGTGAAACTAGAATTCATAGTTTTCTGGTGATTGGCCCAAAGTTACCCAGATAGCTTTCATGCTTAAGGGGGACTAGAACTCAAAATCTCCTGGCTTCTAGCCTTAGTTCCTTAGCCACTAGATCAAACTGCCATTTCTTCTATTGTAATTCAAATCCTGCTGAAATTAGTTTCCATCCATCTCATGAATAGCTGATTTTGTACACCATTGTGAATAAAAATGTGGGTTGCTTTTCTGCAACATGGTGATTGTGTTGCATAGACACAACTATTCCAATGAGTAAATTGGGATACAATGTGCTACATAAATAAATCCAATGTATGCGTTGGATAGGACCATTATTTTTCATCAGTGCATGAATACTTTATCATTTTGAAGAGCCATTACATTTAGAATTGCATATTTCTTTAAGCAAACATTGTAAATAGACTTGTTATAAGCTCTGGTAAGCCCGTTAGTTATCATGCACTTAACTTTGGTTAGCTACTTTAACCAAAATTGCAGGAAAATGGATATATTAATAATGCAATCTTATGCCTCTTAAGTCTCAATGACTTCAGTGATTTTATAAAGTGATATAAGACTGCACAAGTTTTTTTAAAAAAATATAGCTATAGCTCCCCACCTCACTGACCCTTATTTTTTAACATATAGCCTGTTTTCATCCTTGCTCATCTCTTCATCTCAAAATATACCCACACATCCTACAGTTAAATCAAATGTAATTAGCAACTGATAAACATAGCACACATATTTAAATTTTCATTACCCTTCTTCCAGCTAATAATCTGTTCAATCTTTGTTTATTTTAGAACTTCACTAGGTGACAGTAGTAAAAAAGGAATGAGTTTAATGGGTCAAATCCAGTCTTATTCAGAGCAGATTTACACATTTCCAAGTACCGAACAGGAAGATTTGTTAAGTGTTTTTGCTTTAATGAAGTTTCCAACTTAATGACTTTTCATTGGGAAGAATGTTAACCCTTTTTGATTGGGATGCGGTTTAATGCATGGGGGGGGGGGTGTGTAGTGTCTCCATCCTTGGCAACTTTTTAAGACTTGTGGACTTCAACTCCCAAAATTCAGCCTTGGCAACTCCAACGTTGGCAACTTTTAAAGACTTGTGGACTTCATACTTGAAGTCCACTAGTTTTAGAGTGGTCAAGGTTGGAAACCCCTGCATTGGGAGAGCAGAAAGTTGGAGAAAGTTACTGAAGTGCCCCTGTTCTCCTCCCCCCCCTCTCTGAGACTAGGAGTAAAACCTTTGGCAGCAACAGCTGAAGAAAGGAACACCATAGATCCTTGCCGTGAAGTCAGAGCCAAAGCAGACTGAAGGATCCAGTTACATCCTGACTGGATGAGGCAGCTGTCAGATGCAAAGTTCACTAGGGAGCCAGACTGGAAGCAAGAACATGGAGTCAGAGGAAGCAAAGCAGAACTTTAATTTCTTGTTTTAATAAGCCCTTTTCTCAACCCACAAATGTGTATGAGAAGCAATAGGAACCATCTAACCATCTTTGCATGCTCAAACCCAGCCCAGCAGATAGATGGGAGAGTTGGCAGCTCCACAAAATGCAGCCTACTTTGTGCATTTATAATGTGATTTATACAAGCCTTCTCAGGAGTGCAGTAGAAGGAGAATTAGAATTGGAGGCACAGGCACCTGCTGGATCTCAGCTCCTATAATCCTCACCAGTGATGGGACTTAAATCTCATATACTGTGAGTTCATGGATTTGAAGAAGGCTGCTGTGTAAATTGCAGACTTAAACCATGTGGAGATAAGTGCCATTCAAATAAATGGGATTGCCTTCTTCTTAATGAGCTTATCATGAGGGGAAATAAGATTGATTGCATTATCCTATGACAATTAGTCTTGTTTATTTTGATAGAGACTTCTACCAGACACCCTGGTATGGTAGATCTGTCATAACTATCTCAAACCCTACTGATTTCAACGAGTATATTTCAGATATGAAGACCTCTGCACCAAATACTCATGGTCTTTTGTGGAAGCTAACTGTCACAAGAAATGAGATTTACCTTATGTAATATAGTTATCATATCCAGATTGTTGCACAGGTTTCAGAAGCAGCCCTCAGCCTCTGAGCAACTGAGTGAAATTATTTTTGATTAAATACTTTACTAAATAATAACTCAAGATTTTTCTGAGTTATTCTAAATTCCAGATCTGGAAATGGGGGAATCCCCATTTGTGCTAAAATCATGCTGGGTTGTTTTTTTTTTTTCAACCTGTTGCCTTCCAGATGTTTGGAATTTCCAAAGTCAGGGTGCTGTACTGGAATCCAGAGGAAACTCCCTATTAAGAGAGACTGTGCAAAAGAGTTTTCAGAAAAGGTAACCCTAAGCAATTTGAAAGGAAAAAAGGAAATATTATCATTAAAACAATATGCCTTATATCTTGCATCCAATCATAATTGTTTGGGGATTTTGGGGGGGATGATTTATATGTTAATATCATTTTTACATTAATATTGTCAGGCACTGAGTTTTCTTGGGAGTCGGGCAGCCTTAAAAATCCATTTAATAAAAAAAAAAAACCCTGCTTTCTCGGGTGTTTTGATCCAGCCTATCAGAAATCCAAAATATTCAGAAATAAAACACGGAAGGGAGGAAAGAAGAGAAGCAAAAGCGGGAGGGGATGCTTAGTTTAGTGATATGCCTAAAAGTTAAAACTTTACAAAAGGTCCTCACACTCAGGACACAAAACGGAGAGTGAAATGATTGAAATAACTCTCGGGAGCCCAGGTGCCATACGTCTTTATTCGTTTATTTGAGAACTTACCTGCCCAAGTGTCAAGTGAGTCATTTACACCTGAAGAGTAAAGAAAACGCTCACTCACACGCAGCCCACGCCGTGAATCTTAAAGGGCCAGAAGCGATCGGCTTGTGGCCAATCCTGGGACCCAGACCGATCCACCTTAAGCGAAAGGGCTTAGTCGGGGTCCAAGATCTCCGCCCGGAGCCCTCGTGATAGGTAGCTGGGACAGGCGGGGCGGGGCCTGGCTTCCTCTGCTTTAAATATCCCGAGAGCGCGTCCACCGCTGCTGGAGCTGAAGAGAATCAGAAGTTGGTCGAACGGGGGGGAAACGGCGGCGCCGTTGCCGCCGCGTCTGCCGTCCTCCTCATCGTCGTCGTTTACCGAGCTTTTCAGGTGCACCGCTTCTTCCGCAACCGCCTCGAAGGGCAACCGAGCTTCCTCGGGGCGCTTTTGCCAAACCGGTCTGGCGGAGGGACCCCCTGGGGAGCTGCATCTTCGGGGCTCTCGGCCACCTTGACCCGGCGCGGCTGAAGGAAAGTTGAGAAGACCCAGGCAGAGCCGAAGCAGCCTCTGCCGTCCTCGCAGCAGCTGCAGCAAGCGCCGCGTCTCGCATCCCAGCTCGGCGACCGAGGAGAGATGAGCTTCAGGAAGCCGGGAGCGTAGCTGCCCAGCGCAATAGCAGCCGAGGAGCCGACGCCACTTCGATCAGTCACCTCCTGGGTCGAAGGGTGGACTTACTTAGCCGAGCATGGAGCCTCGCTCTTACCTGTTGACCGTGGCTTTTCTGCCGCTCTTCCTGTCTGCTTGGTCGCCCCTGCAAAAGCAACCTAACGCCGCAGCCGCGGCGGCAGCGGCAGCAGCGGCCGGCTCTTCGTCTGCCAAGGAGCTCTCCTGCCAGGAGATCACGGTGCCACTGTGCAAAGGCATCGGCTACAACTACACTTACATGCCCAATCAGTTCAACCACGATACGCAGGACGAGGCGGGGCTGGAGGTCCACCAGTTCTGGCCCCTAGTGGAGATCCAGTGTTCTGCGGACCTGCGCTTTTTCCTGTGCAGCATGTACACGCCCATCTGTCTGGAGAACTACAAGAAGCCACTGCCGCCCTGCCGCAGCGTGTGCGAGCGGGCCAAGGCCGGCTGCGCGCCCCTCATGCGCCAGTACGGCTTCGCCTGGCCGGACCGCATGCGCTGCGACCGGCTGCCCGAGCAAGGCAACCCGGACATGCTCTGTATGGACTACAACCACACCGATCTCGCGACCGCCGCGCCACAGCCCCAACCCAAGCCGCCGCACCGAAAGCCGGCAGGAGGCGGGACGGGCAGGGGCTCCGGGGCTGTGGTGCCGCCCCCGTCCGCCGCGGACCCCCCACTCCGCAAGAGCCGCCCTCCAACCCCCTGCGAGCCGGGTTGCCAGTGCCGGGCGCCGATGGTGTCGGTGTCTAGCGAGCGCCACCCGCTTTACAACCGGGTCAAGACGGGCCAGATCGTCAATTGCGCCCTGCCGTGCCACAACCCCTACTTCAGCCCGGACGAGCGCGCATTCACCGCCTTTTGGATCGGCCTGTGGTCCATCCTGTGCTTCATCTCCACCTTCGCCACCGTCTCCACCTTCCTCATCGACATGGAGCGCTTCAAGTACCCGGAGCGACCCATCATCTTCTTGGCCGCCTGCTATCTCTTCGTCTCGCTGGGCTATTTGGTGCGTCTGGTCGCTGGCCACGAAAAAGTGGCTTGCAGCGGCGGAGCGGCAGCGGCGGCGGCGGCGGCGGCTGGAGCGGGAGCAGGACCCGCGGGCCCCGCTGGAGGCGCTGCGGGAGCGGCCGCTGCCGCGGTGGGCGGTCGCGGAGCAGCCGGCGGAGCTGCGGAGCTACAGCCTGACTTGGCGGTGGCTGAGCACGTGCGGTACGAGAGCACGGGTCCGGCTCTGTGCACCATAGTCTTCCTTTTGGTCTACTTCTTTGGCATGGCCAGCTCCATCTGGTGGGTTATCCTGTCCCTCACCTGGTTCCTGGCGGCGGGCATGAAGTGGGGCAACGAGGCTATAGCGAGCTATGCTCAGTACTTCCACCTGGCGGCTTGGTTACTGCCCAGCATCAAGTCTATTGCCGTCCTGGCGCTCAGTTCTGTGGATGGAGATCCTGTGGCTGGAATCTGCTACGTGGGCAACCAAAGCCTGGAGAACCTGCGAGGCTTTGTGCTGGCCCCTCTGCTTATCTACCTGGCCATTGGCTCCATGTTCCTGCTGGCTGGGTTTGTCTCGCTCTTTCGGATCCGGAGTGTCATCAAACAGCAAGGGGGCCCCACCAAGACGCACAAGCTGGAGAAGCTCATGATCCGCCTGGGCCTCTTCACCGTGCTCTACACGGTGCCTGCTGCCAGCGTGGTGGCTTGTCTTTTCTATGAGCAGCACAATCGCCCCCACTGGGAAGCCACCCACAACTGCCCCTGCCTGCGGGACCAACAGCCTGACCAGGCCCGCCGACCAGACTATGCGGTCTTTATGCTCAAGTACTTGTATGTGCCTGGTGGTGGGCATCACCTCGGGAGTATGGGTCTGGTCTGGAAAGACGCTGGAGTCCTGGAAGGCCCTCTGCACCCGCTGCTGCTGGGCCAGCAAAGGGACGGCAGTGGCCGTTGCAGGGAGTATTGGAGCCAGGGGGGGAGGGGGCAGCATAGGGGCTGCTGCTGCTGTGGGAGGACTGGGGGGTGGAGGGGGGTCTATGTACAGTGATGTCAGCACTGGTTTGACTTGGAGGTCTGGCACTGCCAGCTCGGTTTCTTACCCCAAACAAATGCCTTTGTCCCAGGTGTAAAATCTGGAATTGGAACGGAGGAATGCCGCCCATCTCTTCTTAAGAAGAAACTTCCCTCTAGGAGCAGGACAGTTCCAGAGGCCCAAGTGCCGGGCCTATTGTCCTCTTCCTCCATTCCTTGTTAGTCAATCCTTCCCATGCTGAAGCTGCATGTTTCTGTGTTGTTGGTATAGGAATTTTCTGAAGACAAGGATTGCCTTACTTGCCTTCAGCCAGCACAAGCCCTTTTTGCCCAGTAGGACTTCTCTGCTCTTTCTCCATCCCTCAAAGTCTTGGTCCAATGTGAAGGGATATCTAATTAACCTGCAGGGGTGGAAGAGTCCCTCAAGAACCCCCCCCCTTTTTTTAATGCCAACAACCACAAAAACTGGCAGATGCCTTAAAATCATGTGTTCAAACCATGTCTTAATTGTACACCCTCCCCCCAGTAAATACGGGTTTATTATGTTAAAGGATGTATTTATATAATTATTTGGTACCTGTACAAAATGTGTAAAATATGTATATATTCCAAATGCTATACAGACTGTAAATTTCTTTTGTTTAAAGAAAAAAAGTTTAGAGGCTTACCACCACCGCTCTTGCCTAAGAGCAAAAGTTTGAGTATTATATTTTGTCAATAAAATCATGTCAAATGATTTGCTTGGGAGGGGTGATTCCCCCTTGTTGGCTGTCCCAGTTGTTCTTAATTCTTGGCTTGAGAAATACTGAGGCTCAAATGTTCCCTCGGAGCTCTGCTCAAATAAATGCACTGAGATATTTCAGTAGAATCCACAGAGGAGTTTTCAGAACTTGATCAACAGAGTCCAGCCATCCACATTCTTGGCTATTGGCAATGTTGGTTGGAAAATGGTAGTTGCTAGAGTCTCAAAATACATAGTCAAGAATTCTTGACCCCTTTGAAATTAACTGGACAAGAGGGATCTTTGGTGGTCTCTGAGTTTAGTTGTTTCTTTGCAGATGTTCCATTAGCCAAACTAGGTTACATCATCAGTGTTGATTTCAACACTGAACTGCCAATATTCTCCTTTGTTGGTAACTGGAGTCCAGAAGAAGTTATAGTGCAATGGCTTTTGATCACATCATATTGCAAAAGGGACAGGACTACATCTCTCAAGGTGTTAATTCTAAGTGGTGGGCTAATTATTTATCATCAAGTCAATGTCACTCCTAGCAACCATATTTCCTCCCATGTTGATCTGCCTCTAATCCAGATGAAATGACCTGCAAGTATTTCCTAGGCTGGGTTCTCCATATATTGGGAGATATGCTAGAATTCCCAGTTGGCATCTTGCCTGGGAATGAAGCTTATATGGAGTGAAGGCTTGGGTCTATTCAGGAACTTTTGCTTTGTCATGCAGTAATCTGAGCAAAAGCATTTCTGTCCCACAAGTTTATTGTGACACTGCAATGTGGGAGAATTGTGTTATCCTTTTCATGGGTTGCCATTGCTTGCTTGCACTTGCTGTTCAGTAGGCTAAAGCTGGGAGTTAAAAGTTGTTTTTATGATGGAAGAATAAGCTGAGAACTGTGGAGGCTTTTATTTATGGATTCTGCAAATGTGTTTAGGGGGTCGCATGATTTTCCATTGACATCAAATGGTCTGGGAAGAAGGTCCCCTGATCAAGGCGAGCATTAATTGATTGAAGTGGGAAGCTGTAGAATTAGCAGACTGCTTCACAACAATTGAACTTTTTACCTGTCTACCCCAATAACTCAGAGCATCTCTTTTAAACAGAACTAAATGAATAAGGTTTCTATAGGAATCTTGTGCCTTTGGAGACAATCAAAAAAAACCCACAAAACTTTGATCTCTTGTCTGTAAATGTCTTGTATAGCGGGTTTGGGAGTTTCTTTCTTTAGAAAATTCTTTCTATGGCCCAATTTCTCTTATAGACCAATTTACCACCATGGAGCTTCAAAAGTTCTTCAATTAAAAGAATGTAAGGCACTTTTTTTTTAAAAAAAGGGAGACTTGTAACAGTTAGTGAATCCAGAGAAAAAGAACAGCCTTTTAACCAACTTTTTCCTAGCTTTGTTAATCAGACTAAAGACATGTAGGGCCAAGGTTAGGGTATTATGGGGAGGGATGGGATGAGAGAGAAATTTCTAAATGCTCTACAGGTGGTCTATGGTCTACTTAGAATTGCTCCTGTTTAAAGCATTTTCTGCAGACCAATTATATTTCTGAATTCTTCACTCACACTAACTGCTGCTTCATGGACAAAGCTGCTATGAACCAGGCTTTTTGTTTTTGTTTTGCTTTGCTTAAATAAGCTTTTAAGGTTCTGAAGCCCTGCCATTCTTGACACATATGTTTTAAACTCTAGTTTGAAGTGTAGAAAGTCTGCAGTTTTGTGTTGCCTTGAATGCCTGGTGGTTGCTGAGGTAGAAAAACACGAGCTAGGTGAGCAGCTTACAGACAGGGACAGACCCCGTTAGTAGTCTGTCAGGAGCTGGAGTGCCAGTTTGCTTAATATGGTAGAGTTAGAAATTGGATAAGGGGGAATATGGAGCGGTAGAGATCACAGAGAAGGAGAACTTGCCAACCTCACAATGCCTACTGAACTTCAGAAACTTCTGGAACTGTTTCCCAGGACTCTTAGCCATCATGCCAATGATGAGGGCTGTTTGCATTTAAATCTGCAAAGTCTGGAAGCCAGCATTTCTCCATCTCTGCTCTAAATTAGGATATTAATGAAGGGGTAATTCTAGTGCTTTTAACATCAAGAGGTGGCAAGTCTTAACTGTTTCAAGCTAAGCAGGGTTGGGCTTGATATTTTTATATCAAGAATGCAAATTAAAAGCTACCTAAATTCATTGATTAAGATGGGAGGCCATAAAAATTGAACAAAGAGATGGGGAAGTAAGTAATCCATTATTGCTGCTGAGAAATGACATACATCTATTAATATATTGGGAGTTGACAACCAAGGATGCCCCCCCCTCCTTTTCCTCCTCCTCTAGAACATGGAACAAAATAAACCTAAGGAGCTTTGAAATCATGAATTATTATTTTTTGTCTGACCCAAACACATTTTTTTAAAAAAAACCTGCAGTACTGAAGGAGAATCAAGTGGGAAGTTAATTTCCTCTTTCTGTGCTTTTCAAGACTTTTTGTGTTTGTTTCCTTTTTATCTCTTGTGATTTCAGCTGTTGAAGCAGGACAAAACCTGCTGCAATAAAATCCGCAGAATCAGCAAAAGACAAGTGAGATGGCAGAAGGGAGGCTGTTTTGACTTGTCAAGGGAATAATTAGCCTAAAGGTTATGTTTTATAGGTTTATAGAACTACTTTGCCAAAAATTGTTTTCAATATTTTTAGTGCACAATGTAGAATTAGGCAAGAAGTTCAGATCCTGGAAAATAACATTTTTGGTCAGACCCTGAAATGTTCACAAATGTTGTTCTTAGGATGGCTGTTGTGTTTGTGTGTTTATTATCCCTTTTCTTTCACATAGAGGAAAGAATACAAATGAAACTGGAAGAATTATCATAAAGTGCAATCGATTGCTGATAATAAAATAATAAAATTAAGATTCTCCCATGTTGCTCAAAAGGAATTGGGCTGGTTCATTAGGAACAGAAGGTTCAAATAATAGTTAAAAGCAGCACTTTTTAAAAAAAAAAAAAAATCCAATACATGGGCAATTGTATACTAAATATGGGAAAAAACATTTTGAAAGGTTAGGGCTGATTGCCACCTACTGGCCAAAAAGTAAATTAACAATTCTAAGCAAACTAGAATTTGTTTCCATCTTTAATAGTTTAATTTTACTAATCAAAACTATATACGCTTACTTTGAATGGGGCATTAGATTTCTTTGGCTTAGAGATTGAGAACTTTAGGGACTACTGTACTTAGCACCTCCACATGGAAACATCCACATGGAAACAAGTGTCTGGGTTTTATTTTTGTGCAAGAGGAATTTCCTACATTTGTGTCATTTTAGAGTAGGAGGGGTAGGAGGATGGCAGGTGTCTAGTATCAGATAATCTCTTGTGATTATCTGGGTGTATTTTGCTATGCCCAGGTGCTGTGCCTCACCAGGGAATCCCAAGGTCTGCATTTGCCAGCTGTTATAGGTATTAATTTTATATCACAATCTCTAGGGAGGATTTTGTATCTCAGTAGGATTGAAGCAGTTCTGTGCTTCATGTATACAGTAGAGTTTACATGTAGGTAATTAAAGGACTGTACATCCAGTACAATCCTCATACTTCTTTGACTTCAACTCCCATATCTCAGGTAATATAGGCTGATATATTCTGGCAGAAAAGTATATCAGTCATGAGCCAGTTCATAAAGGGGACCCTCTCTTCTGGAGGGACATGGGGATTCTGTGCTCCAGACGTTGCCAAGTTCACAATGTTCCCCTCCAGTGGCCATTTGGCTGGATCTCCTAAGAGTTGAATGAAGTTCAGCAGCATCTAGAGAGCTACAGGTTCCTTACTCTTCATTTAAGACTTTAAGAAGTAAAAATGACTTCCAAAATCATAGGAGAATTTTGACATTATACTGCTTGATATTACACCAGTATGGTGTAGAGTGGTGGCTAAAGTATCAGGCTAGAAACTGGGAGATGGTGAGTTCTAGTCCCACCTTAGGCACAAAGCCAGCAAATGACCTTGGAGACAGGGCATTTTTTTTTCACTCCTAGGAAGACAGGCGATGGCAAACCACTTCCAAAAAACATTGCAAAGAAAACAGAGAATTGTCCAGGCTATTGTAAGTGGCAATACCCTGACTCAAAAGTTATTAGACAAACACACACAAAAATATTAAAAACTATTGAGCTAATACCTCACATGCCTCAAATATTGAACAGCTTATAACACTTTTCAGTTTGCTGGTTTTGTACATATATACGTTCTCTAAAAATTAAAATAAGAGTGCCTTCCATCTTTTCATCTTCAAACTTCAAAGGACACTTCTTGTGCTAGAGAGACAGAAACTGCAGATGTTTTTCCCAGGAGAGTAGTCCCTTGTGCTAAATGAAGAATTTGCTAATTGATATTTTGTCTCTGTTGCCAGCATTCTTTGGCCTTGACTATACTCCTTAAATTCCAATGGGACAGACCCACAAATGAAGACCCTAGTTTTAAGTAGGGATAACTGCAAACAGAAACCATGCAGCCAAGTGCTTTTTTGAATATGGCCAATGTTTCCATGTTTATAATAAAAAAAAAGTGCAATGTTTTCCTTTAACCTATTTGTAAAACATCACATCTACGTATGGGTATTCCATTGAATGTATAAACACTGGCAAGTTGTAGTTTAAAATTTTAAAACTCACGCATACCATGCGTATTTAGTAAAAATTAGAGATAGCAACTTTATGAACTAACACGTCCATATCTTTCTTTTTATCTTCTCAAATCAATAACATCTTCATTTCAGGACGAATGACATTCAATTTATAATCCAGAAAGTTCTGGATACGTTCTTTTACCCACCCCCCCTCCCTCCCTCCTTCCCTCCCTCCCTCCCACTCTCTCTCTCTCTCTCTCTCTCTCTCTCTCTCTCTCTCTCTCTCTCTCTCTCTCTCTGTGTGTGTGTGTGTGTGTGTGTGTGTGTGTGTGTGTGTCCTCCAGACTTTGGTTCTCATATCTATATCAGAAGATCCACACCACAATGGA